ATGCAGATCTACATAAAGAAAGGAAGAGCAGTGGAGAAGGAATGAGTGAAGGTGAAATAAAAACTTTTTTTGGAACTTCCCTGACAGTTCAGTGGTTAAGACTCCACGCTCCCAATACAGGGGGCCCAGGTTCAAACCCCAGTCAAGGAACTAGATTCCACATGCATGCTGCAACTAAGAGTTTGCATGCCACAACTAAGGAGCCGGAGAGCCGCAACTAAGCAGCCCACCAGGGAGCAACTAAGCCCCGGCGCAACCAAATAAATAAATAAAAATAATAACAATGTATTTGATTATGCATATATATGCTTGTGTATGAGAAATGAATGACAGCAATGATATAAGGGATAGAAGGGAGGAATTGGGGTTATTTTGTTATTATAAGGTTCTTGCACTACCCATGAAGCAGTATAGGGTTATGGGGTAGTGCAAGAACCTTATAATAACAAAATAATCCAGCAGTATGGGGTGGACTTGGCTTAGTTGCAAATATGTATTGCAAGCTCTATGGCAATCACTATAAAAGATCTAAAAAAAAAGAAGTATGAGAAATATGCTAAGAAAGAGAAAACAGAATCATATAAAATTATTATTTAAAACCAAAGGCAAGGGCTTCCCTGGTGGCGCAGTGGTTGAGAGTCTGCCTGCCGATGCAGGGGACGTGGGTTCATGCCCCAGTCCGGGAGGATCCCACATGCCGCAGAGCACCTGGGCCTGTGAGCCATGGCCGCTGAGCCTGCACGTCCGGAGCCTGTGCTCCGCAACGAGAGAGGCCACAACAGTGAGAGGCCCGCGTACCGCAAAAAAACAAACAAAAAAAAACAAAAAAAAACCAAAGGCAAAAAAGAGTAGAAGACAAAAATAAGAACAAGGGCAACAAATAGAGAACAGTAACAAATATGGCAGATAGTATTCCAACTGTATCAGTAATCACTTTGAATGTCAATGGTCTAAATGCACCGATTAAAAGACAGACATTGTCAGAGTGGATCAGAAAACAAGACCAACTATATGCTGTCTGCAAGAAACCTATTTTAAACATACAGACACATATAGGTTAAAAATAAAGGGATAGAAATGACAACAACAAAAAAAACAAACAACCCAATCGAAAAATGGGCAGAAGACCTAAACAGACATTTCTCCAAAGAAGAAATACAGATGGCCAACAGGCACATGAAAAGAGCTCAACGTCTCTAATTATTAGAGAAACGCAAATCAAAAGTACAATGAAGTACCACCTCACACTGGTCAGAATGGCCATCATCAAAAAATCTACAAACAATAAATGCTGGAGAGGGTGTGGAGAAAAGGGAACCCTCCTCCACTGTTCTTGGAATGTAAATTTGTGCAACCATTATGGAGAACAGTACAGAGGTTCCTTAAAAAACTAAAAATAGGGGCTGCCCTGGTGGCGCAGTGGTTGAGAGTCCACCTGCCAATGCAGGGGACATAGGTTCATGCCCCGGTCCGGGAAGATCCCACGTGCCACAGAGTGGCTAGGCCCGTGAGCCATGGCCACTGAGCCTGCGCGTCCAGAGCCTGTGCTCTGCAACGGGAGAGGCCACAACAGTGAGAGGCCCGCGTACTGCAAACAAAACAAAACAAACAAAAAAACCCTAAAAATAGAACTACCATATCATCTAGCAATCCCACTCCTGGTCATGTATCTGGGGAAAAACATAATTCAAAAAGATACATGCACCCCAATGTTCACTGCAGCACTATTTACAATAGCCAAGACATGGGAGCCACCTAAATGTCCACTGACAGAGGAACAGATAAAGAAGATGTGGTACATATATACAATGGAATTTTACTCAGCCATAAAAAAGAATGAAATAATGCCATTTGCAGCAACATGGATGGACCTAGAGATTACCATGCTAAGTGAAGTCAGACAGAGAAAGAAGAATATCATATAATAGCACATCTATATGTAGAATCTAATTTTAAAAATGATACAAATTAACTTACTTACAAAACAGAAACAGACTCACAGATCTCGAAATCAAACTTACGGTTACCAAAGGGGAAACATGGGGGGAGGTGATAAATCAGGAGATTGGGATTAACATATACACACTACTATATATGAAATAGATAACTAACAAGGACCTACTGTATAGCACAGGGAACTCTTCTCAATATTCTGTAATAACCTATATAGGAAAAGAATCTGAAAAAGAATGGATATATATATATATATATATATATATATATGTATAACTGATTCACTTTGCTGTACACCTGAAGCTAACACAACATTGTAAATCAACTATATTAGAATAAAATTTTAAAAAATTAAAACGGCTTTCAATAAAAAGTATCTACCAGGATGTTAATAACAGCATTCTTCCTAACAGGGAACAAACAGAAACAACGATTATGTCTAACAGTACGGAGTTAATTAAATTATGACAATCTAGATTATAAAATAATATGAATCCATTAAATGAGAGTATTTACTGATATGGCAAAAAAATTATGATATTAAGTGAAAAAGCAAGTTATAAAACAACATGCATAATAAATACAATTTTTTTGAAATATATTTATGCAGCAAAATAACAAGAAAGGTAGCAAAAATGTTAGTGTTATCTTTAGCTGGGGCAATTATGGGTAATTTTATTTTCTATTTATTTAGTCTCTAATTTAAAAAAATAATGATGCATTATACTCATGTTTAAAAAGCAACGTTGGACTTCCCTGGTGGTGCAGTGGTTAGGAATCCACCTGCCAGTGCAGGGACGCGGGTTCGATCCCTGGTCCGGGAAGATTCCACATGCTGAGGAGTGGCTGGGCCCGTGTGCCACAACTATTAAGCCTGTGCTCTAGAGCCCACGAGCCACAACTACTGAGCCCGTGTGCCAGAGCTACTGAAGCCCGTGTGCCTAGAGCCCGTGCTCTGCAACAAGAGAAGCCACCGCGAGGAGAAGACCGTGCAACGCTACAAAATGTAGCCCCCATCGCTGCAACTAGAGAAAGCCCGTGCACAGCAACAAAGACCCAACGCAGCCAAAGATTAATTAAAAAAAAAAGAAAAAGCAACGTCATTAGAAAAGTTAAGTAGCTCAATAGATACTAGTTAAGTAGATACTATGCTCCTTAAGAAGGGCCCATTTTTTGTTATTGGCCTGCCAAAAAGTATAATGCCTCTCCATGTGTAGTAGGGGTTCAATAAATGCTTAATGACTGATCGATAGAATGAATATAATAATGGCCTCACTTAATTTCACTAGGTCATTTACTCTACTAGTCATTCTTACCTAAAGAAGTCCACATATTGTCTGTTGAACGTTAAGTCACTATCCTTTGGTTGAGGAATGTTCAAATTAAACCCTATGTGAGATTGCCCTCTGGTGGTTTCACTGACAATGCTTTTTATCAATTTGAAGTGTGTTAATCCACCTCACCAATGGAAAGAAATATGAGAGTAAGAACAGGGTAGTAAGATTTTCATGAAGCTAAATTTATTCCATTTAAAGAAGCATCAGACTTTATGTACTTTTTAAATTTCTGAAAAAAACAAACTGACCTCTCACAAAGTGTTAGTGATAGTGTATAATAGGTTACTCCTCTGAGGCGGAGAAGCAGAGGGGAAGTGATAGTGGTGATGAAATACGTACTTATTCAGCAACTCTTGAAGACCAAAATTCCAGGAACTACAATGTCAACTACAATGTACTATATTTCCAGTACAACAAGAACTAAGTTAATTCTCCAAAGCACTGACATGTGAATGTGTGGTTTGGGCGTCTTACAATTGAACAATCTCTATTTAGTAGATCCTTGTACTTAGAAGAAAATTTGTTATTTAATTAATTTAGTTTTTATGCTTCCTACTTTTATAACATGGCATATCTCAATCTTTGTAAAAATCTGGATATAAATCAACCAGAAAAAAACTATTTTCGAAGCTATGTCACCAAACACAGTTAATATTTCTGATTATCCAACTCTATTGACTTGTTTTTCCTTTGATCTTTCCCCCAAATGAATATTAATGAAAAGAGCATAAACCACTTAAAAACACTTCCTTTCTGTAATAGAGGGTGGCCATTATTAATTATTTTCTTTACTCTTTCCTATTCACTATTCCTTACATTTTACTCAACACTTGACCCTTCACCTTCCTCTATTCAAAGAACTAGATTAAGCAATAGACTTTGAATGTGAAATCATTTTTCACACCAAATTTTAAAATATCACAAATATTGCACAAGTTTGAATAAAGCACCTTTTCACCTTCTTAATAAAGACTCCTCACCTCCTAAATAGAAATCACAGGGGCATCAATGCTATTAAGGATCATATATAAGCTGGTAGGGATAATCAACAGAATAGACTATTAACATTTTTGTAAGACTAGTTTAGTAATATTAACATTTTAATCACAGAGTTGTATGTGCTCTGAAGCAAGCATAACTTTTAAGACAGCCAGAAAAAAAATCTCAAAATGAATAATATTCTTTCTAGGAAAGCACATTCTTGGGTGAAAGAAAACACCTCTTGTCATAGTGATGCCTTGTAAAAAAGGATCTGAACAGTTTGGATCCTGGCTCTCCCATTTGCTAGGCAGTTAGGCTTCAAGTCACTTAGCCTTATCTGTAAAATGGGGATGATGCACCTTCTTCAAAGGATTATTGTGAGAATTTAATAATAATGTAAACTAAAGACCTAGCAGGTAGTAGAAACTGATTAAAATGTAACTATTTCCTAGAGCCACAAAAATGGAAACATTGTAACATCTATTTTCTGTGTGGATCTCATGAGTTTCTTTTCAAAGGCAGTTTAAAAATCTTCAGGAGAATCATGCACGTTTTTATTAATCATATTTATACTACTATTTGGCTGATAATGTAAAAGTACTTAACCATACCGGGCACATAAAAATAAATAGACTTTAATAACTCAAAAGGAAAATAAAAATAGGCTTCCGTAAATAAGAATGTGAAATCCAGAACTACTTAATATATATAAAGAAATACACATTCTAATATATGAGAAGACATTTTATTATTTTACTATATAACGTATTAATGAATATACGCAATTTGTATTTTCTCAAATGGCAAATGAGACGCAGGATAACATTTCTCTTTGATTCCTGAAAACCTCAATATCATCTGTCTTTTGGAGGATTCAGTTTTCTACGACGTCTATGATACCTTGAAAAGAAGAAAATATTTAAGATAAGATTATTTTAATACAAGTTAACTGTTCCTGATAGAAATACCAAATTTCTATTACCCTGCTGTTTACTGGTATTCAAAAAAATCAGTGAAACCTAATACACACACACACACAGTTAGACACACCTCAGGTAGAAGATACTTCTTAATAATAAGTCACATTTTCCTGCTGTGAAAATTGTCTTCTATTAATTAAGCATTTGGAAAGTCTTTTTTCAGATCTTGAGGTAGTTTCAATATGGCAATATGGATGACTGTTCCTTAAACACTGTGAACATGCAGAACGTGCTCTATTAAAGTTTTATTCAAAAGGGGATGATCAGCTCTAAATGGAGGCCTCTAAAGCTCCAAGATCATGTTTTTATAATAAAATACGATTAGTAATATGTATATGGAAAAATGTGTAATATCACAAAAATGGAAGAAATGCAAATTAAAACAGTGAAAAACGTTTTTACTTTTTTTTGCAATCACAAATATTTTAAAAATTATAATGCACAATCCAAGTATGAGTATGGTGAAGCAAGCAATATCAGATCCAACTGCTTAAAGTATTAATCAGTATAACACTTTTGAAAAACAGTGTGGTTAATACTTAAAAAAATTTTTTTTAATAATCATAATTTTTGACCTAGTAATTCCTCTTCTGGAAATCTATCCTAAAGCAGTAAGTAAGCAGTTAAAATATTAACTACTTTAATATAAAAATATTAATGGGGAAAGGGATGATACAGGATGCAAATTTATATATACAGTATGATAAAAACCATGTAAAAATTTATGTGAACTAATAAAGATTAAAACCATGTAAAAATTTATGCAAACTAATAAAATTTATGTATAGAAAGAAAAAGAGAAATAAAATGCATTGTTAGCAGTGACTAAGTGATTTCGCCACGAAGAATTCTTTCTTCTTCGCAACATTTCCTTATTTTCTTTATTGAGTTAAGAAAATGTCTGCACAGAGTACATTTGATTTCGGTGATGAATTCTCTTCAAAAATTCCCTTAAGGCCAGAATCTTGCAAGTTGGTCTGAGCTAATTTTTAACTTTTTTTGCTAGTGTGGACATTCACTGTAAAGATTTCTACACCATAAATGATAAGACATGTTCTTATGCTCTTTAGTTGTTGTGATTAAGATGATCTGGGGGGACTTCCCTGGTGCTGCAGTGGAGAAGACTCTGTGCCCCCAATGCAGGGGGCCTGGGTTCGATCCCTGGTCGGGGAACTAGATCCCACATGCATGCTGCAACTAAGATTCACATGCCACAACTAAGAAGCCCACGTGCCACAACTAAGGAGCACACCTGCAGCAACTAAGGAGCACACCTGCAGCAACTAAGACCTGGTGCAACCAATAAATGAATTTTTAAAAAAAAGATGATCTTCAGTATTTTTTGCTTATCTTAAGGTTTCATAAGGCAACTTTCCTATACACTGTTTTTTGATATTGATTTTTTGACAAATTGCAAAATACAGAAATTAACTTAAAAAAATGAAGCACATCTATATATACTAACATGGAACCCTAAGTTGTAGAATAATACATACAGCATAATATCAATTATCTAAATAAACATTTCTACATGTACTTATATTGGCATTGAGAAAATAACGGTTTTCTTAAGGGTTCCAGTTATGTGCCAAATAATCAAGGTTTTACTAGTGCAATAGTATCCCTGAAAGGTGTTCTCTCAAAGCAGTTAGATACCAGAATAGGGGGGTTTGGGAAGTCACAAACTTACTGAAATTATTTATAAAAATTTTGTATATGTGTTTTTCTGGGAAGTGGATTCATAGGTTTCATCAGATTCTCAATGAAGTCTGTGGCCCTAAAAATCTAAGCATTATCCTATAAAAATGCGATTCAGCTTACAATGCTCAACCATTTTCACTACCCAAGACTGACTGAAAATGCTTGAGACCCTGATAGCCCTAAACCTAACAAAGTCAAGCTCTGAAATATGCTCAATAAATGTTAAATAGCATTTACAGATTTCTTATCATGCATGAATGTCAATATATGCTATAATCACTCAGAAGCAAGCACCTGAATTTTAGGGTGCCCTTATAACTTATCATCCAAACTGGGATCCTTTAAAGAATAAAAACTCACTCTATTAATAATTAACAAATGAGTTAAACTGAGACTGTCCCTGGGAAACCAAAACATATTGTTACCCTTCTTAAATTACACAATGACTCAGTGATATCTGAAAGATTTGTCTACAGTTCTTAGTCCAAGACAGAACTTCACCTCCTGGTTCACAATGCAGCTAGATGTTCAAATGTCTCCTACTCATGGTGGTAGCTAATTTTTGTTGCCTCCATGGAAAAATATTAAAGTAGTCCTTTAAATAAAGTCGTGCAGCTATTCATACATTTATAGAATTGCTTTATATTTCAGAAATTTAGAATTACTTTCCAGATCCTTCTTACTTTCTATCCAGACTTCTTTCAATCCTTCCATCCTTCTTTCTTTCAACATAACTTTACAGTTAGTGGAGTTATGTTAGCTATTTTCTTTTTTAAGAGATATTATGAAAATCAGAATCATTCGCTCATTCATTTATTCATTCATTTTAAATGTGTGGAGCATCTACCACGTGCCAGGCACCATTTTTAGGTGCTAAGGTTTCTGTGGTACACAAAACATGACAAAATCCCCACCCTCATGGAGATTACATTTCAGTGTATTAGACAGAAAAACAAGATAAACAAGTTGACCAGGGGAGGCTTCAGTGAGTAAAAACGCAAAATAAGTAAGACAGCTATCTTTGCTGATATCAGCAGGAAAAAGTATTCTATATAGAGTAAACAGCAGGTATAAGGGCTCTGAGGTAGAAGGAAGGGCATGTTCAAGGAACAGAAAAGAGGTCATGTGGCTGGAACAGAGTGAAGAAAGAAGAGAATAGTAGGAAATGAGAGTGGAAAGGTAAAAGAGGGTCAGATCACATAGGTTCTAGTAGATAATAGTTAAGGCCTATAGCTTTTCTCTAAGTGAGATGGAAAGCTGTTGGAAGGTTTTCAACAGAAAAATTATAAGAACTAGTGGAATTTTTAACAGGATTACTCTGGCTGTGTGCTAAGAACAGACCACAGGGAAGCAAAGGCAGAAGTAGGGAGACCAGTTAGAAAGCCACTTCTATGAACCAGGCAAAAGGTGGTGGCGTGTACCAGGATGATGGCAGAGGGAATGGTGATAAATGGTCAAATCTGGATACATTTTGGAGATAGAGCCAACAGGGTTTGCTTATAGACCAGATGTTGGGTATGAGACAAAGAGAAAAGTCAAAAATGGCACCAAGATTTCTGGCCCAAGCAGCTAGAACAATGGAACTCGCATTAACTGAGACAGGGAAGGCTGCAAAAGAAGCTGGTTTGTGAGGGACCACGAAAAGCTCAGTTAGAGACACAATAAGTTAGGGATGTCCATTAGACAAGTAGGCCCGTGGATATACAGGTCTGGAGGTGAAGGGACAGGAAGAGATAGATTTGGGAGCCAATGTAGATGGTATTTAAAGCCATGAGACTGGATGAGATCACTGTCTTAGGGAATGGGACAGAAAAGAGAAGAGGACCAAGGACTGATCCTTGGGAAACTCCAAAATTTAGAGATAAGGGAAATGAAATGGAATCAGCAAGAGAAACCAAGATGGTATATGAACTTTGGGTACATAAACAGTTTCAACAAACTTATTATGGTTGAATTAATGAGAAAAACAATGGAAAACTCAAACAAAACCATTAGGAACTCTGCCATATTGCTAAAATGGTGTATTTTGCAAAGAATTATAATGGAAGGAATGCTTCACTGACTTTTTTATTTTTTTCACGCCAATTGAGGAAGACTGAAAAAAGGAAAAAGAGCTTGTACATAGATGCTGGCAAGTGAGGGCACTGATATGTCCTGCTTCCTGAGTACTGGCAACACTAGAGGCCAACAGGAGATACCCCAGGGGTTGCAGAGAAGGGCAAAACAACTCAGAATCATGTCCCCAGCAACTATTTACAGAGGAGCTACCTAATGCAAATTGCTACAGGAATACAAAAAAATTGATTTGCATAAGGAGCACCTTTCAAAGAATATGTTCGAAGCCCCATTACTTCAGGTAAATTATAATGTAGTGGCTAAGTTAGTTTAACTTGTTTTCATCACCTGTAATATCATCAAACAGGAAGTAGCAGGAGCCTCATGGTTACATATGCTATTTTTTTAAACCAACCTTTGCACAACTGAATATAAAAATAGTCATTCAGGCAAAGGCAGAGAGCAGGGAACTAAAAGTTCAATTTAACCTCAAGCCCAATGTCCTGGATTTCCTCACCACTAATCTCTCACACTAAAAATTCAAACAGTTCTAGTATCCAGTTTCAGTATAAAGCCTAAATCTAAGAAGACTCTTTGAATTGCCATCCTAAAGCAAACAGGATCACCAGGATTAGGAAACAGTAATATCCAAATCATAAATTTAGTGGTAACAATTTTAACCTTCGATCTCCAGACTTGAGATAATCTAATCTCCAGTGCTTATTGCCTACTAGACTATTACAGCATCAATTCTGTATAGTCATACTACATATACTCTCAGTCCACCCCACCCTGGGTGAGGCCAATAATTAAATGCAGGTAGGTTTGGGATTGGATGAGGTGGGCAACACCCTGGGATCATAAAGCCTCTGCTGACCTTGATTCAGAATTAGATAATGAAGAACATCTTAATCCACAGGTGACCTACCTAGATAAAATGGAAATTAGATAAATCCACATGACTTGATAGCTGAACTCTGGGAATAAAACTTCCAAGAATCACTGGGAAATTTACCAGCAGACCAACCCAAAGACTAGCATAAAGTATGGTCTCAAAGAAAAACTGAACACCTTCAAGAAGCTGTGAAGATAATTAGGTAAGATAATATTCCATCAGACAGTAACTTAACACACATACATTGTATTAAAGATATTTTATTAGAG